GAACTTTTAGTCTAATTAAACATATGTGCCTTTATAATTATGACCGAGGCTCTTGCGTGCAAAGAAGCTTTGTCGTGGCTCAAAACACGTGGGGAGCGGTCAGTTAAACTATACACGGACTGTCAGATACTTCAGGGCTATTTATCTTCAACTAATGCCCAGGCTCGATCCTATATTGATTATGCTCTTGATGGCTGCAGAGATTACATGGCTATGTTTGACTACTACTCAGTTAATTTTATTCCTAGATCACAGAATTATTTAGCGCATACTTTAGCACCGCTTTTAATCACACTATGTCTATATACTGGGATGCTGTCCCGCCTGACTCTATTTCGAGTTATCTATAAATGCAACCACATTGGTTCCTTTCAAAAAATAAAAAATAAAAAAAAAATCTATGTGGCTATGTTCCCGTTATAACCTTACCAACATTGGCTTTTATTAATATTTAGTATGCAGATTATTATTATTATTGTTATTATTATTATTATTATTATTATTATTATTATTATTAATAACAATAATAACAATAATAACAATAACAATAATAACAATAACAATAATAACAATAATAACAATACTAACAATAGTAACAATAATAACAATAATAATAATAATAATAATAATAATAATAATAATAATAATAATAATAATAATAATAATAATAATAATAATAATAATAATAAGCTTTTAAGGTATATGTTAATAAAAATTATAATAACAAAGTATTTATTTTAAAATTTTAAAAAAAATATGTCGTTGATCATTAAAAATTTGACATACATAAGTCTTTAAAATTTAAAATTTATTTATTCCGTATATAAAACTATAGATGTATATTATGCAGGTCTTTGGTCATCTAATTTTATACAAATGTCTACAGAAGTCTAGTAATATATCCATTTCACATGCTACGGATCTAACAATACTTTAAGACTAATATAATAAAACATAGTTTTCAAAAAAATATATAATAAAACATAGTGTTGTGATCTTAACCTCAATAACATAAAATATATTGGTATGTTGGGTCTAGGGTACGGTCTTGCATCAATTGTGTTTATTCATTACTTATAAAAATCGCCCCAATGACTCTTGTATTGGTAATCTACTAACGCAACCGATTTTTAATTTATACGTGATGGATGGTATACCAACACTTATTGCGTGGACCGTGGTCCACACAGCTGTGTGAATCATATTTCAAAAATGACATCGTTTTGCGTAATTTTTTTTCACGCGACCCACAGCAACATATATTTTTATAACTCACAATGTACATTATTTTAAGAGTAAATACTCAAAATGGTCCCTCGACTATAGCTAAATTCACAAATTGGTCCTCGACTTTTAATTTCAACCAATTAAGTCATTAACTTTGTAATTTTAACACAATTTGGTCATTGTCTATTTGACCGTTTGTTGACTGCGCTTTTTTAGGATATATATGTAATTTCATGGTCCATCATCGGTTTTTTAAGGTTCCGGTTGCATTTCTAAACTGCACTGTTACATTTGAATCCACTGCCAGCGCTGCACCCCATGCCGGAGAGATTATAGCTTTTGATAGATAGATCGCTGAAGTCCCTGGAATGGCTCTTCGAGAAAGCCGTGACTCCAAGCGATGTAGGCAAGCTGAACCGGCTCGAGATCCCCAAGTAGCAAGCGGAGAAGCACTTTTCCCCTCCGAAACGGCGCTGTCACCTCCAAGAGCGTTCTCTAAGCTGAACCGGCTCGTGATCCCCAAGCAGCAAGCGGAGAAGCACTTCCTCCTCCGAAACAACGATGTCACCTCCAAGAGCGTTATCTTGAGCTTTGCACATGAAACTACATATATATCCTCAAAGATCGCGGTCAACAAACAGTCAAATAGATAGAGGACCAAATCGTGTCAAAATTACAAAGTTAAGGACTTAATTGGTTGAAATTAAAAGTCGATGATCAATTTATGAATTTAGCTATAGTCGAGGGACCATTTTGGGTATTTACTCTTATTTTAAAGCATAATATATATTATTATAACTCATAAAGTACATTATTCTAACTCATATAATACATTATCTTGCCCCAGAAGTTTTATTATTCTAACATATAATGTACATTATTCTAACATATAAAATACAGTATTCTAATACATAATGTACATTATTCTAACACATAAAGTAAATTATTCTAACTCATAAAACTCACGATGTAGTTGTGGACCGTACGTGATCCTAGCAGCTGTGGACCTAATTAATTAATTACACAAACAATTTTTTATTTATACAAATATTATTAATATATCATGAATTGTGTTCCTCAAAAAAAAAATAATCTAAGTAACATTGTGTTCCTCAAAAAAATCAAAGTAACATTGTGAGTATTAACACTTATCATTATTTTATTATAACTTTTTTATAACTTTCAGATTTGCCAAGTGAATTATGTTGTCTAAATTGTTTTAAAGAAGATGAAGAAGTTGGTGCATTAATATTGCTTAAACGAAAAAGAAAGGTCATTTAAAAATAGTTAATACTTAAGTTGGTCAGGTTGTTAACTTGGTAAAACTAAAATGTTACAAGTTTAATTTTTAATGGTGTTGGAAATTTATATAGTAATTATATTGTGATTAATATTTCAGATGTTCTACCATGTAACATAAATAATATTTGGGTGTTGTGGTGTTAATGTGTTACAAATATTATTTAAGGTTTGGTAGGAATTTATTGACAAATTATGTTGTGGAACCGTGTTCACTTTAAAATTGTCCATAATTATGAATATATAGTTCAAAAATTATGAACATATAGTTCTATAATTATGAACATAGAGTTGTGAACATAATTATGAATATATAATTCTATAATTATGAATATAGAAATTCAATAATTGTGAATATAACGTTAAAAAATTATGAATATATAACTTTATAATTATGAACATATAGTTCAGTAATTATGAACATAGAGTTCTGTAATTGTAAATATAGAGTTCAATAATTATGAATATAAAGTTCAAAAATTATGAATATATAACTTTATAATTATGAACATATAATTATAATGTACTTTCAGCAAGGCCAATAACATGATAAACTATTGTTCAAACAGCAGAGAAGAGTTCAGCAGATATATGTATTAACTCAGCTGATATACTATTGAGTTGTTGTTCGATCTAACAAGCTAATATACCAACTCATATGGTATATTAGTTATCAGCTCATTGACACAGTACAGCTGGGTAACCTATGGGTTTTAACTTCTACGTACAAAGCATGCATGTGTTTAATTTGCATGTGGATTAATTACGTATTATGTTCTTTAGGAAGTTTACGGTTTTAATTAACTCCGTAACTTCTGTGTAATTTCTCATAAGAGTTAATACCATCCGAGGTCCTCCGAATATAGTGATTTTGTCACGTTTAGTCCTAAACTTTCAAATTGACCAACTGTGGTTCTTCGACTTTCAAATTTAACCATTCGTGGTCCAAGTTAACCACTCATGGTCCTTCAACTATTAAATTTTAACCAATCATGGTCCTTTCAAGAGGACCACGACTGGTTAAATTTCGAAACTCGAAAGACCATGGGTGGTTAACTTGAACCACAAATGGTTAAATTTAAAAGTCGAAGGACCACAGATGGTCAATTTGAAAGTTTAAAACTAAACGTGACAAAATCACTATACTCGAAGGACCTCAGATGGTATTAACTCTTTCTCATAATGTTCAGTATTTTATCTCTAAATACATGATTTACATACTTTCCTAGTATACGTAAGAATTAAGATATCTTCACAATGAGGGAATTAATTTCTTAACAAAGCAAATAATTAAGAATTCTGTTCATCTTCTTATATTTCATAAGTCTAATTTTGGATCTTGTTGCTTGTTTGAGGCATATTAAAAAACTTATAGGAAAGTGTTTACACGTCTAAAGATCTCAATCCTCATATCCATTTTCTCGGACACCAATTTCCTAACAAATAGGAACAACCTATTGGTTTTCTCGATTTGAGCTGGTTTGCTATGGGCAACATAGGCTGCAGGCTGGTTTCCCTTTGTGGTCCTTTACCGGCTAGAATCACAAGTCATGGTTTAACTAGTGTGGTCTTTTGCTAGCTAGAGTCACAAATTGGGTTTACCTAGTGCACAGTGCACACTCTTAGGTAATAGCTACGAGTTTCCCTCATCACTAAAAAAAATTGTCTTTCAACTATTAATTTTCTCAGGATGATTCATCAACTATGCAAAATTTTATTAATTTTAGTCTTCCGTTACTTACACCAATGACTAAATTGAGTACATGTATAAAGCAAACACCATTAATTATGCTTTTTTTTTTTTTTTTTTTGTGTGTGTGTGGGGAAATTATATTCAACTTAACTCATTGTCCTATGATAATGGATGAGTATACATGATGATGATTGAGAGGCCCGTTACTAGGGAGTTTGTTTGTATTAACTCTTAGCTTAGAATAGTGTATACACTTGTATAAACTATTTTACTAGGTTGCTAGACTTAACAAGCATTTGGACCACCAATTATTTATTAATATAATATAACCTTTCTGACAATTTTAGAAAATGAAATATTACTTTTTATTTTTCCCGATAATAATCAAAGAATCTTTAATAAGATGGCACTTATGTGGTTTTACTTGACGGAATATCACAGGATTGAATGCAGTGATAGGATATTGATTTTTTAGACTGTAATAGATATAAAAAATATGAAATATACATTATCTTGTAATAGAGTCAATAATACTAAAAAAAAAAAAATTCCATAGACATCTCAATTGGTCATAGAACTATAAAAGTGATGTTTGGAAACAATACCTCAAGATTGAATCTCATCATGAAAAATATCTAGCCTCTATGTTAGTTACACATGGAAAGTCTTGGGTTGAGGATTGAATATTTTGGGAACAACAACAATAGCACTAAAAGAAATTACTTAATAAGGAAACGTGTTACTCATGGAGAACTTTAATTTGTTTTTCTTTTCTCGGCAAGGTGATGCAGAAATATCTTTTTAAAGCTGAAGCTATGAAGTAATCCAGATCCTGTTCTACAGCGGCTCCAAGAAGCACCAGAGGCGAAAAATGGACGTTGTCTGTTTCTCCCCTGCACAATCTCCGTATTTACATCCTAAATCTTCGGCGGCCACGTACGCCATTCCCTCTAAAAACACGGTCAAAACCGCCGGCGCTAGGAGGACAAGCCGCGCCGTTCTCTGCCGGGCGACGTTGCCGAGACCTGCGGCGGCGGTAGCGTCGGAGGTGTTTGTCGACACGTCCACCTCAACAGATACGCGGCCGTGTCCTCCTCCTCCGCCGCCAGCTGAACTGCCGCGAGTGTCTCCGAGCTCACTGCAGTGCGGTCCTGGGTACCTTATTCCGAATCCTTCGCTTCAGGCCAATAATGGCACTGGTAGGGACAATGCGGTTGAGTATTTGACTAGCATATTGTCTTCGAAGGTGTACGATGTCGCCTATGAATCGCCATTGCAGCTCGCTCCGAAGCTATCTGAGAGGTTGGCCAACAATGTCTGGCTCAAAAGAGAGGATCTTCAACCTGTAATGCTTCTTTCCTTCTTCCTACTTTATTTATTTACCAATAAAGCTATTTTCTTTTTCCTTTTATACGTCAAAAGGTGGGTGATTCAATATAACCAACCAAATGGGTCACATTAACTTTCTTAGTTTGAGTCGATCAGCAAAGAAAGTTGGTATCTTGTCTGGAATGAAGAAGCCTTGTTTGCTATTATAGTAATCTACAGTAACTAATAGTGTACTAAATTGGCAGGTATTCTCATTCAAGCTTCGAGGAGCTTACAATATGATGGCTAAACTCCCAAAGGAGCAGTTGGAAAGAGGGGTTATCTGTTCATCAGCTGGGAATCATGCTCAAGGGGTTGCATTATCTGCTCAGAGACTTGGGTGCAATGCTGTAATTGTGATGCCTGTTACAACACCAGAAATCAAGGTTAGGCTTTTAAGTTTTGAGAGTGGTTGGTAAATGATTGTTAGCTGATTGGATTAGTGGGTTTGACTAGTTGATAGCATTAGCTGATTGTAGAAAAGTATTCGGTAAATTAGTTGTTAGTTGTTAGTTGTTAGCTGATTACATACAAAATGACTTTATCAAAAAGCTGATCGAAAAAGCTACAAAAAGTTGTTACAAAAAGTTATAAGTTGTTAGTTAATCAAACACTCATATTGCTATTGCTTATTTAATCAAGTCAAACAGTTAATAGTGGTCAAATAAGTCAAAATTGACTGATAGGCTAACTATTTTACCAAACAGTGTCTTTACCTACATGGCAACATACTTTTTGGGTGTGTTTAATAAAATGCTCTCTGTTATTTAACTTTAATTAATATTCTTTTATGGTCTTTTACTTGAATCCTTATAGTGGCAATCAGTTGAGAGGCTTGGTGCAAGTGTTGTTCTTGTGGGAGATTCATATGATGAAGCTCAAGCATATGCCAAGAAGCGTGGCGAGGAGGAAGGGCGAACCTTCATTCCTCCTTTTGATCACCCTGATGTGATTGCAGGGCAGGGTACTGTTGGGAAGGAGATTATGAACCAAATAAATGGTCCAATACATGCAATATTTGTGCCTGTTGGGGGTGGGGGGCTTATTGCAGGCATTGCTGCCTATGTGAAAATGGTAAATCCAAACATAAAGATCATAGGAGTTGAACCATTTGATGCAAATGCCATGGCGTTGTCACTGCACCGAGATCAGAGAATAATGTTGGACCAAGTTGGAGGCTTTGCAGATGGCGTAGCTGTTAAAGTAGTCGGTGAAGAAACGTTTCGTATCTGCAGAGAGACGATCGATGGAGTGGTTCTTGTTAGCCGTGACGCCATTTGTGCCTCAATAAAGGTTGCCTTTAATTTCAATGGAATCAAAATTTGATTTTTAGATTTGGGTTGTGTTTGTTTTGTTCTAATAACTCCATTTCTAATGAAGGACATGTTTGAGGAGAAAAGAAGCATTTTAGAGCCTGCTGGTGCACTTGCTCTTGCTGGAGCCGAAGCATATTGCAAGCACTATGGCCACAAAAATCAAAATGTTGTTGTAATCACTAGTGGAGCAAACATGAACTTTGACAGGCTTAGATTGGTAACTGAACTCGCAGATATTGGTAGGCAGCAGGAAGCCGTGCTCGCAACTTTCATGCCAGATGATCCTGGCAGTTTCAAGCAATTCTGTGAACTTGTATGTCCTGCAATTTGTAATTACCATATATGCTTATACAAGTTATAAGAGCAGAAAGTGGAAACAAAATTAGTTATCTTTCTTCTTCTGCTGTTATTTAATTTCTTATGTAGATTCATTCTTTTACTCTGTAACCATTTCAGTCTAACATATAGTAATCTCAATTGCAGGTAGGACCAATGAACATTACTGAGTTCAAGTGCAGATGCACTTCTAGTAAAGAAAAAGCTGTGGCACTATACAGGCAAGAACTCTTTGATCTCGATCATGTGTTGCTTGAAACCCGTAAAAAGTAATTGGCTCGCACACATGAGGGCGTGTTGAGCATATATAATATATAAACATAAATGTGCAGTCCAACTATCAGCTTAGACTTTTAGTTTGAATTCTTTGGACAAACATGTTAGTTTAACATGCAGAGACAAAAGGATACTTGTTTTATAAGTTGTTTTCAGTTATATGTTGTTCCTGTTTGTCTGAACTTGAGTTATTTGTAACTTTCATTGCAGTGTTGGTCTTCACTTAAAAATAGAACTTGAGGCAATGATGGAGAGGATGTCATCTGCTGGACTTTATACTATTGATCTTACAAATAATGACCTTGTCAAAGATCATCTAAGGCATTTGGTAATTCCCCTTTGAATTTCTCTCCTTCCTTGTCCCCAAAACTAAAAATTTATGATAAGATGAACTTATTAACATGATCAGAATTGAACTAGACAGCTAAAGTCTGCAGCTTTTCATGTTTATCAGATGGGAGGGCGGTCCAATGTTGAAGATGAGGTGTTATGCAGATTTGTGTTTCCAGAGAGGCCAGGTGCCTTGATGAAGTTCTTAGATGCTTTCAGCCCACGCTGGAACATTAGTCTGTTCCATTATCGCTCACAGGTTTCCATCACTCACAACCTTAATTAGCAGTTTATAGCTTCTTCCTTGATCATGTTTAATTTGACCATATATATGTGCAAGCAACTAATATATATATATATATATATATATCTTTGTTTCACTTGTATTGAATTGCCATTTGATAGGGAGCAGAAGGTGCGAATGTGTTGGTGGGTATCCAAGTTGCAGACAGCGAGATTGGTGAGTTTAAGGATTGTGCACACAACCTAGGATATGAATATGCAGTGGAAAACAGCAATAGGGCTTTCCAACTCCTAATGCATTGAAAGCTATACTGTTTGAAAGTTTATTTTTAATGAATAAGTTGAAGTATTGTGTTCGGTTTACTGTGTGTATGGTCTTGGGTAGCTGTGCCTGGATACGTGATTAGACGTTCTCGAGCTTAGGTATCAAATGAGTAAAATTGTAAAAATTCAAAGGTCCCCATCTCAAGCATTAAATGGACTTTATATAGATGGTTGGTGGGGACACATGTTGGGAGCTCGGCATGTTAACCACATGTCTCGCATGCCCGGGCGAGGATGGAGGCAACTCTAATAGATCCACGTGCAAGGAAATTATATTCTTGATACCTGTGAAGTAGATGCAACCACTCAATGTGTTTGAGTTGTATAATACTAGGGTTCGGTGCTCGGAGTAATCTTCCCGACCTGATGTGTTTGGGAAGGTTACTCCAAGGGGAAAAACACGCTCTAGGCTCGGGTTGGGCAAAGCCCAAGGCGGTTGGACATGCTCGGAAAACGAGCCTCTTGGTCCCTGTATGGGTATCGAGCACATGTACAAATATACAAGTAAGGTATAATCTCTATCACTACTTAAAAATAAATTTATATTACATTAAAAATAGATATTTATTCGTTATCTACTTTGTAATATGAACCATGATTCATAGTATAATTTGCCATGTATAAACTGCCCAATTCAATCAAACCATCCAGCGAGACTTTTCAACAAGAGTATTCTTGTTATAATAACTAGACTTGTAACGTCCTCTTATGTATTCGTAGGAACCTTATTCTCTTTGCCTACTATCTTAATAAATTGTTTTCTAATTCAACAAGAGTATTTGTATTATAATAACTCAACTTGTAATGTTCTTGCAGTGTGTTAATTATAGATATATAATTTAGATCAAAATTTACAATGCACGTGATGAATTTTGGTCCATGATATAAATATGCACGTGGTGAATTTTATTCTTAAATTTTACTGTAAGTACATAATCTGAACTAGGGTTTACAATATTTATAGTAGACCTTAATGTATGATATAATTTGCATTTATTCTCTTTGTCTACTATCCTATTAAATCGTAATTAAATTTAAAAGTTTGAACTTCATACTTAAGGACCCATCACCGTGAAAATTGGTGGAGGAAGTAAATCATGTAATATGCATCAAATATATATCCAAATGCTTATACACTAGCTATGAATTTTGAAATCAAGTGCATCATAAAGAAAAATGCAATTGAAAATCATAATTTACAGCCAATTTATAGTTCGCCAAAAAGAATGTATATGTAATAAAAGAGTTAATACCCAATTTGGTTCTTCGACTATTAAATTTGATCACTTTGTTTTTCGACTTCTAAACTTGTTAAATTTCATCTCCAACTATGCAATTGTTAACTAAAATGGTCTTAATCAAGACTATTTTGGTTTTAACAAATGAATATTTTAGGTAAAAATTGCATAGTTAGGGATAAAATTAATCAAGTTTAAAAATCAGTGACCAAAGTAGTGAAATCCTAATAGCCGAAGGATCAAATTGGGTATTAACTTGGAATAAAATTTAAATTTTATGAGAATGAATAATGTCAAATTTCATTTTTATGGAAAAAATTAGTAAAAATAATTAGTATAAGGACTTAAATGTCTTTACATAATAGAGATATGTGTAGGTAAATATTGTCCAAAATGTTGTATCCATATTGTCAAATGGTGTGGAATTTAAAATACCGAATGGAACCTTTGAAATTCATTTTTTCTCAAATTTGAAGAATTGAAATTCCAAGAAATTCAATCAACTATCAACCAAACATGGTTTTAAAAAATTCTCAAATTTAAATAAATAAAACTCCAAAAAATTTATATTCCCATGAACCAAATTAATGAGCCATTAGGGTTTCTAATATGGCCTTGCGTTTAACAAAAGATCATTCTAAACGGGAGGTCCCAATTTGCTGAGGTGTTCGGTAAATGGTAGATACTGGTCATCGCATGCTGGTTAAAGACATTAAGTTTGAATTGTGTTTCCCTCTAACGAATCAATACAAATGAAAGTTGGTTTTAGCGGTGATGTTTTAGTGAGTGTCGTCCTCTAGGAATGGCTATAAAAGAATTGAGTAGAGAGAGGTTAAACACAAGATCATCGAGTGTTTGAAAGCTAACTAAAATGGAAGTTTTGTTTGCATAGAGACAACTATAAAACAACTAAATGATTAAGTAATAGACAAGGATAAAAGAGATCAGACGACTTAGATCAAATATCAATGTACAAATACTTCTTAGTGTTCTAAGATTCTAGGCTAAACCATGTTCAACAATGAATGCAAAGAAGTTAAGTCGTCAATGCCAATGCCACTCTCATGGACATTGGACTCTCACCAAGGTTCTAATCCCATTCTCATAGCAATTAGACTAGGTGAGGCAATTAATCAAACATCTTATGTGCTCATTTCCTTCCAACTCTCCTTTCTCAAGAGTAAGTTAGAAATGTGATAGGTTTGGCTATGGTGAATCCCTATTCTCATAGCTGAAGCACCAAATCCAATGACATCTTGCATAGTTGGGCCATAACCAAACAAGAGTTAAGCAATTTTACCAATTTCACAATCACATTCATTCTAGAGACATTGCAAGCCCTAGGTTTTTCAATTTTAATCTATATTGACATTCATACAAAGCAATTCAATCTAAATCCCTAATTAGTTTAACTACTCATAATGGAATTAACAAACTAAAATCAATTGAAATAATGCACAATGAATTTGACTTCAAAAGTAATTTGTAAAGTACAAAAATAAGAAATAAATATAAATCCTTACTTTATTGAATTTGTAGAATGTAAATCTGAAATTGAAAGTGAAAGTTGCAATTACATACGGTAATCTCCCACTAAATCTTCTCCAAAAGATGATGGAATACAATGGATTTTTTGTTCTAAAGGGTTTGGATGGAGAGAAGATGTAGAGGGAGGTTGGAAATTGAAAGATAGTATGAAAATAACGCCTAAAGACTATTTATACTTTTGGAATCGTGCCCTTTTAAGTGCTTCCAGAATGCCTGGTCACGATGAAGGTCACATCGTGCAAAATTACTCAACTACCCTAAGTATATTACAAATCAGCCATTTACAAATAAAAAATTCTGAAATCTGAACTGTTAAAAAAAAAAAAAAAATGAATGCAAACAAGGAGATCAATTCTTCGGTGATCACAACAATATAAGCTACTTCTTGTTTTGCGCCTTATATATTGTATGTATATATAGGCACCTTATATATAAGACTAAATGTGTATAAATACTAGATGTACAAAAATTAAATTGAATGATGAGTTAGCTTAGAGGTTAGGTCTATGTTAGTGTGTGAAGTGTCTTGGGTTTGTATCTTGAGGGCAATTATTTTCTAAATTTTATTTTTTGGCCTTTTTGAATATTAATAGTGAGATTATAATTGTGATTTATGAGATTAATTTCTAATTCTTTTATTTTTTGGTCGTTTTGAATATTAATAGTGAGATTATAATTGTGATTTATGTGATTAATTTCTAATTCTAATTGGATTCTTTATATGTAACATTGGGGTTTTCTAATTGGCTGGATTTGCCAGTCGCAGTTGCGGCAATTGTGGCCGGTGGACATGGCGTAGAGCCATCCACGTACCCCAGCAGATCCTGACCTCTCAAGAAGGGAATTAATTGAGTCCTCCAAAAGAGAAAATTTATGCTATTGAGCTTGATGGATACGTGATGATGAGCGCCGACCAACTGATTGGAGATCGCCGGTGAAGGTGTACCACCAGCGGAGACCGTACGCTCGGATGACTGCGACATACTTTCGGGGAGAATTCGTTTGTGATTCGAATTGAGGGGGTAAGGTGGAAAGAGAAACGGAGAGGTCGTAACCTATCTGATACCAAATTGGAATATGAATTTCATTAATTAATCATAACAGAATGAAATTACAGATTATATAAAACAAAGCTACGAGAGTTCTCCTAACAGACAGAGAAGCTCAAGTCAATCTATTCTAAGCCACATAATATAACTATAGAATATAAATAAATAACACTGACTAAAATCTTTTAAATATTAATAGTGAGATGAGCGATTTATAATGTAATTTCTATTTGAACTATATTTTTGTTTTGAATATTTTTATTGCGTTTTAATGTATTTTTTTATTTATTTTTTATCCATAGTCAACAATACTTATGACTCGGCATCTAAGTGTATCATTTTATTTTTCTTTTGACCCCACTGAAGAAAATTTCTAAATCCCCCTAAAAATTAAACAATAAGATAATACCTGAAAATTTTCCAACTTAACAAGCAGTCCTGGGTTCGAGTTATAAATAAGAATGTAATTACCAAATCTATGAGGTAGTGGTTTGACATTGACACAAATAATATTAGTTTTTGTATGTAATTTTAATTTACTACTCCGTAATTCATAAAATTTGTGATCAGAATATCAGACAAATAAACAATTAAATAATCATAATTATTTTGTGTATGTATCATCAGTTGTCTGTTTGACATTGCAATAATATATACCACATATACACGAAAAAAAAAAACGCATATCTACAATCTACATCTACAATTTCTACATCTACATCTACATCTACATCTACAATTCTATCTACAATCTACAATTCTAATAAGAGCCAATAATGTTAGGCCCTTAACTGGAACAAAAAAATGTCGGTTCTTTTGTTTCTTAAAATGAATGGTTCATATTATACTATAATTCCATTAGCATAAACTTTAGTAACAGAATACTCCGTTAAGTATTTATTATTTTAAACTTACACATTAATTTCTATAAGAAAAGTCCTAGTTTCGAACCACATCCCAATTAGAGTTGGCATAATTGTTAAACATATACTACGAATATGTTAAAATATATTTAAAATATATATAATATAAAATTTAACATAAACTTTGTTCAAATAATTAGTCTGAATAAATACATAACATTCAAAGTTAAGCATCAAAGATTATAAATCAAGAACTTTAAAAATCATTTGATCAGAAAAAAACTTAATACTCTTTTGATTATTTAGATCAGAAAAAAACTTAATATTTCAATTATACTTTTGCATTAATTTTTTTGTATGTATTTTAAAAAAAAAAAATAAAATCAATGATTGCATTATTGTTGATGAAAAGTATATACGTCACTTTATTACTCTTATTAAACTAAAATAAAGTAGTAGCTACAACAAAAAATAATACATATGCATTTAATTAATTTAGAATTAGAAGTCTATAATGCCTTTATTTTAAAAAAAAAATTATTCATTATAAAAAAATTAAAAATAGATAAAATTTCATTAGTTATATTATCTATATTTTTTACAATTCAAAGATTCATTACCTTCAAATTTATCAATTTATTATATTCACTGCATTGTCCATTGTCTTCTTTTTACATTATCTTGTAATTAAATATTAAAGTTATAATACAAAATACATTATATATATTTATTTACCAAGTATTTTATACAAATTAAATATAATAAATATTAATATTTTGTTCAATACTTTCACATGATAACCTACGACACACATCTCACAATGCATGAAACATGTAGGGGAAAACTACCACTACCAAATATCGATTAAAAAATTCAATAAATATTATCTTGTATTTATATATTTTGAATTACCGATTTAAATAAACAAATTCAATATTTATTTACATATGCATGAACATCTCCGATATAATATTGTGTTGATATACTTTGAAATACTTATTTAAAAATAATTATTGGACATTATCTCATTCGCGCAAAGCGCGTAAAAAAACTAGTATATATAATATATGTCAAACATCTTCTAGCTTTAGCACCGAAAGTAATACAAATTATTAAATTATCTCTTTTAACGCTAAATCTATTTATTCCTTTTCTATGAAATAAGCAACATCATTGTATTCATTATTCTTTCTTCCTTTCTAATTCTATTTCTATTTTTTATTTCCGTTTCGTGAGTTAAAATAATCATAAAAACTAAAACCAAGTTACTAATTAAAATGCACTTCGTAAATTAAGAAAAATAAATAATATATTCCGTAAATAAATAAATAAATGATAAATTCTACAATACGTAAATTGGGGGTGTTAGCGAACATCGATTTCGTTAAACTACTCGTGTTTGTGTTTGATAAACGTTCGCTTATTAAAGTAAACGAATGAACATTTGTATGCTCGTTTGCTAAGAGCTCATGAACACAATCGTTTAACAATTTTCATGAACACATGCATTCCCTAGTTATTTTGTCAATGCATTCATTACACATGAGCTCTAACCAATGATACAATATATCATCTACACTTAAATGACCTAGTCCAAGCCCTTGGTTTTACTATTGCTTTTTAATTGCCTTAGTTTTTTTTTTTTAATTGCATTAGTTAATTGCTTTACCATTGCACTTTGGACATAATTATTCCATGATATTTTGCAACTCCATCTCGAACTAGCTATCTACACTCTTGTACATAACCACCTACTATTCAACACCTTTCCGGTCCACTCCTTGAGGATACCCTCTCACACACACTCCATTACATCACCACTTTTACTCAACTTTCACAAACATAATTTTCAAAAATTTTAACAAACTAACACTCTAAAAATCTTAACAAACAAACAAGAACAACCTCTGTCCGTGTTCGGTCTATTAACAACGCTATGCATCAAGTTTTAAAATAGAAAGTAATACACTATGATGGCAAATTATGCTCTGGAACCGTGTCCACCTTGCAAGGTAGACACGGTACCAAAACGGCGTCGTTTTGATGGAAAACGATGCCGTGTCAATTTTAAAAAAAAATGTTTTCTTTTGCCGTTAACGGCGTTTGTCTTCAGATTCGACAGTTTCCTTCACAAACTCCATGTTCACAATTATAAAAGTCTATGTTCATAATTACTGAACTCTATATTCATAATTATAGAACTTTATGTTCATAATTTTTGAACTCCATATTCACAATTATTGAACTCTATATTCACAATTACAGAACTCTATGTTCATAATTATAGAACTCTTAGTTCATAATTATATAACTCTATATTCATAATTTTTGAACTTCATATTCATAATTATTGAACTCTATATTCACAATTACAGAACTCTATGTTCATAATTATAGAACTCTATATTCATAATTTTTGAACTCTATGTTCATAATTTTTAAACTCTATATTCATAATTCTTGAACTCTATATTCACAACTGCAGAACTCTATATTCACAATTACGTAATAGTATATTTACAATTTTTAATTTCGCTGAATTCTTTTGACAAATAAAAAAAAAATGATTGTGGAAGAAAAATGGTGCCACTAACGACAGTATTATTCCCGAATTGTAGAACGGCATCATATTAGATCCGTGTCCATCTTGATGGACACGGGTCCATGGCATAAAAGTGATGCGTGGAATGCTCTTGGAAGGTAACATTTTTTTCTTTTCATTTTGAAAATGTTCCTTATTCAAAACTGTTTTGATTGAAAACTTTTCCGTCTTGTTTCTAAACAAAATAAAAGGTTTTGAACAGCTTTAAAATTTACCAAACAAATAAGAAATGCATTATTCCATTTTTTTTTTAAATCTTGGCTCAAAATCTACAAAATTGCATTTTTTAACACTATTGACTCTATTATAAGGTCGTATCTGTTCTATACTTTCTCTAACTATTGCAGTTCAAAGAGTCAATACTCAATACCCCACCACCGGGGTTTGATCCTGTGACTTTCGGGGAGGCACAAAGATGCCATCTGAGAAAATTAAAACCTACAATTCGTCTTCTATTCCCCAAGACCTATATTGACTATGTTTGACAGACCTAGCTGAAAGCTGAAAAGTAGCTAAAAACTTAAAAGTAGCTGAAAGCTGAAAAGCTATAAGCTAGAAGCTGAAAATTGAAGAGTTGAAAAAAAAAAGTAAATGAAAAACAATTTGTTTCTCATAGCGCATATTCTAGAATAGTTTTTGCAGATTTTTTCATAAATCAAAGGAGTATATTTAAAATAATATTAAATATTTTTTTGGAAAAAAAACAATAATAAATATATGTAAATATAAGTTAATATTTACTAGTTTCATGATTAAAATATATAGTACGAATAGGATTTTTTTTTTTTTTGAATGTTACTGGCCCTATTACATTGTAGTAGGCTCGAACTCATAATCTTCCAAATGAAAGTCCAACCCCGGTACCATTAGTACAAATAGGACTTATTTGCATTAAAAATTAAATAAAAAATCAAAGCAGTCTCATAGAGTTGCCGATATATACCATATTTATTTCATGACAAGTAAATGAAACAAATTGTTTTTCATTTACTTCCTTTTTTCCTTCCCCCAAAGGAAAAAAAAGGAAGTAAATGATAAACAAATTTTTTTCCTTTTTTGAAATTATTGTTTCCTTCTTTTGGTTTCATATCTTTTTTGAAGTTATTATATTTCCATTTTGTGTTTTCTATCTTGTTCTACAATTATTATTTTTCCAATTCATGTAGCAATTTATATGGAAAATAATTAAAATTGCACATATATTTCTTACCTCATTTTTTTGTTTGTAATAATATATGATATATATTGACGTTGTAAAATTTTTGTGGTTTTTTTTTTTTTTAAAAAGACATTTGTAAAATTTTTGTAAGGAAGAGTATTCGATCTTGTTTGGTACGCGGAGTGATTATTGATGGCTAACTTTAATGGCAAGGCATTAATATACAATGCAGAAAAAATATATACCATATTTATTTCATGGATCAAGTTTCCATTTTTGCATGAGAAATCTCACCGGCCGTGACACATCACACAAACGCTCTCCATGCTTCATTTACTATACTTTGCTCTCTCCTCACTCTATTCTCTCTTTCCCTACAAAGTTTCCTCGCAGATTGAACAAAAAGAAGAGGAACAAAAGGAGAGGACAGAAAGCTAGAGATATAGATCAGAAGAAAGGATGTGGGAGTGGAGGAGAAGGGTGGCGGGGTGGCGGTCCGCGGCGGCGGAGGCTTCGTTCTCATCTTTAAGGCATTTGTGGTTTATGATGCCGTTGTTTCTGGTGGCGGGTTTGGTGGTTTTCTCTGGCCCTCGGAATTCCTTTTTGCTCTTCGCTTCTCCCTTCCTACACGGCGGCGGCGGCGATAGTGGAGGTGGGGTTTTCAATGGCTCTTCAACTCCCCCGTCACAAGAAATCTTCCGTCCAAACAATTCGTCGGTATAAATTCTTATTAGTTTAACTTTCTATTGCTTTTTTGAGTTACCATGAAAATTCGAAACCAGGTCACTAGCTAAAGGAGTGCACAACCTGATCCTAGTATGTTAAATCAGTTTAGATTGCTAAATGGTATGTTAAATCAGTTTAGGTTGCTTATAATTAATACAGAACATGTGAAATCAGTTTAAATTGTTCATAGAGCCAGAGCTAATAGATGATTCCCATAGTCCAAATTTGTAATAATCTGGGTGTGTGTTTGATTGGAAAGAGACTCATCAATTCTTAACCAAATGTCAAATATTTGATCTTGGATATGAATCGGAGTAGTTTTAAATCTTTAGGCTAGTTTTCCCATACAATAGAGGTACAATTCAGGAAGGGGATTAGTCACAATGAAAACCCTAAGTTAAGCCAAAAAAAAAAAAATAGTTCAAATTTGTAATTATAGTGACTATAAAGTCAATAATCTCACCAATTTGGTTTAATTTGAGTTGCCCCTAATCTATTGCTCTAATTTTACAATTGATAGTGCTAATTACTACGTAAACAATAATTAAACAAACACGAGACCAATTAAAGCAAGTAAATATCTTTATTGATCCTGGTGAAGGCCTTAAGTACAATCTATTTGGTTGCTCTGAGTACCGACTGACTGCGGTCGGGATTCTCTAATAACAACCTATCGATCGTACAAAAGTCCCTCACACTGTAGCTACTGTGGGTATTTATAGCCGCTGCGCCGGAGACACAAATCCGGTCGTTCGGCATGCTCTCCACGTAGCCACCACGTGTCATCCTCCCGGGTGCCCTGTCTGTCGTCGCAAGGAATCGCCACGTGTCCTTTGTCAGCTCTCTCGCCAAAGGGCTACCGTTCGGTGGTCGACATTGCCGCTCGGGCGACTCCCGGTCGGACTCCGACCGGGTTCTTCACAAGAAGTCCGACCTGTTACCTGCAAAGACAAGAAGAAAAGACAAAGACAGACCAGCCGGGGTAAATTTATGTCGGTCGGGATATTCCCTACCAACAATGTTCTAATTGGTGGATAATTCTTGAATACAGGAAACAAACAAGACCAATATGTTAAATCAGTTTAGGTTGTTCATAGTTAATATACGATTCCTATAGTCCAAATTTGTAATAATCTGGGGTATGTTTGAGTGGAAAGCGACTAATCCATCTTTAATCAAATGTCAAGGGTTTAATCTTAGATATATAGTAACTTTAAATCTTTAGACCACCCCTCCCACATAATAAAGGTGTCTACAAGTCAACAAGAAGATTAGTCACTGTGAAAACCCTAGACTAAACAAAAAAAAAAGTCCAAATTTATAATCACAGTGACTATAAAATCAATAATCTCACCAATTTGGTTGGAATTGTCCCTAATTTATAGTAAAATCAATAAAATCCATCTTTAATCAAATGTCAAGGGTTTAATCTTAGATATATAGTAACTTTAAATCTTTAGACCACCCCTCCCACATAATAAAAGTGTCTACAAGTCAACAAGAAGATTAGTCACTGTGAAAACCCTAGACTAAACAAAAAAAAAAGTCCAAATTTATAATCACAGTGACTATAAAATCAATAATCTCACCAATTTGGTTGGAATTGTCCCTAATTTATTGCTTTAATTTTACAACGACGTTCTAATTGATGGGTAATTCTTTAATACAGGAAACAAACAAGACGCACGAGAATCTTACAAGCATCCCAAGACCTTTGTTACCAACCGAACATGAAGAAACACAGAACGGAACATCATCGTCGTCTTCGAGTCCTACCGTGGATGTCGGGACAACATCATCGTCATCATCGAGAAGGTACAGTAAGTTAGAGATTCTGGAAGCTGGGCTTGCGCGATCTCGAGCTTCAATACTAAGAGGAAACCCAACAAAAGATGATTTCATACCTAATGGCCCTATGTACTGGAACGCCTCGGCCTTTCACAGGTACATTTTCTGCATATACTTTCCAATCCTGTTACGCCAATTTTCCCAAACTTGTATTTTCCTTTCTCCTTTTATGCGACACTTTCACCTTTGGGTTCAAGAATCGAATTTTAGTTTGACCTCGTGCCAACAATATGATATGCCCAATTAACTCCCTTAGTAGCTGAAATATTTTTGGGTGTGCCAAATTAGGCGTTCAGATGGCATGTAGTGATCTCTTTCATGTGTAAAGTCGTGAGATTGAGCATGAGTGGAGGCGTTATTGACTCTTTGTGCTTCGTTAGGTTGAGAAAGTATGTTTGAACAGATACTACAATGTAATAGAGTCAATAAGATTAAAAAAAAAGACTATATTTATCTCTGTCGAACATGACAGGAGTTATTTGGAAATGGAGAAAACATTGAAGGTGTATGTGTACCAGGAAGGGGATCCCCCGGTGTTTCACTTTGGTCCATGCAAGCATACCTATGCAATCGAAGGCTATTTCATTCAGGCAATGGATGTGAGTCCCTTCAAAACCTCGGACCCAAACCAGGCTCATCTCTTCTTCCTCCCCTTCAGTGTTACCATGTTGACTGAAGTGATTTATGTTCCTGAATCTCATGACTGGTCTCTCATGAAGAACACTGCCTTCGATTATGTTAACGTTGTTGCCCATAAATACCCCTTCTGGAATCGGAGTCTTGGCGCCGATCATTTCATGCTTGCTTGCCATGACTGGGTATGTATATATCAACTCCATTGTTTTTATTTTTGTAAATTAAATATTATGTTGAGAAAAGAAGAAAAAACGGTCAAATAGATTTTAATACTTTATTAGAGAAGTCAATTACTGACCTGTAATAGCTGGTCATTTAAGTTTTTGGAGATTAGTCTTTTTCGTGGAGAAGGTGAATAACGGCCGGCACTACTAGAAATTATAAAATTTTCGACCACTTGAAAGCAAGTTGATACCAAAAAGTGGTCGGAAATAGCAACAAAGCTTTTTTTGGATACCAAAAGTGATCCGAACAAGACTTTCGACTTGATTTAAGATCACTTTCAGGTGGTCAGAAATTTCATAATTTCCAGTAGTGCGTGGTCACCTATTTCACCGAGTTTATTGCACTTTTGGTCGGCGGCTATAGTGGCATTATCAGGATTGATTCATGACTTTCAAACCTTGCAATCTTGGTTCATGATTATTGTTTTTTTTTTACAAAATGGTCATTCCGGCTCATTTTTTGTCAATTTCTCACCGTAGTAAGAACCATTTTTTACCAAAAAAAAAGGGGGTCGGAAAATGGGTTGAAATGATATTTTTGAAAAAAAAAAAAAAACATGAATCGAGATTATAAGGTTTGAAAGTTGTGGATCAAATCTTGATAATGCCACTATTGTGGCGAGACCAAAAGTGCTATAAACTCCCTATTCACCTTTTTTTTTGCCGGAAAAGGTAACTTGCTAGTTGCTACCACCTAAACTTCTTCACAGGCGACCGTTTGTTAGTTGTTAATGATCAATTTTAGTTGCTGGAACATAGTCTCAATCCTAGTGATTTACTATTACAGATCAATAATTAGTATCAGAATAATATTTTATTTTGGTGAGTTTGATTGTAAATTTTAAAAGTTTAGAAATTTAATTTGCATGCCATGAATGGTGAAGGGGCCTGAAATATCATTTGCGATACCAAACCTACACAACAACTCCATCCGGGCACTATGCAACGCCAACACCTCCGAAAGATTCGATCCCAAGAGGGACGTCTCCATCCCCGAAATCCATCTCCCACTGGGCACGACGGCAGGCCTCCTAGGCGGCCCATCTCCCTCGAAGCGCACCGTGCTGGTCTTCTACTCCGGCGGCCTCCACGGCCCCATCCGCCCAATCCTCATGAAACACTGGGAGAACAAAACCGACGAAGACGTCCAAATCCACAGCTACCTCCCCGACGGCCTCTCCTACTACGGCATGATGCGCAAAAGCAAGTACTGCATCTGCCCCAGCGGCTACGAAGTCGCCAGTCCTAGAATGGTGGAGGCGCTCTACATGGGCTGCGTCCCGGTGCTCATAAAGGAGGGCTACGTTATCCCCTTCAGCGACGTGCTGAACTGGAAGGCGTTTGCGGTGATTATTCCGGTGGGGGATATTCCGAACCTGAAGAAAATCTTGACGGGGATTTCGCAGAGGGAGTATTTGAGGTTGCAGATGAGGGGAGTGAAGATGAGGAGGCATTTCGAGATTAACAATCCTCCCAAACGTTATGATGTGTTCCACATGATTCTTCATTCTATATGGCTTAGAAGACTCAATATTCGTGTTCGGGATGATGTTCATCATCTTTCTTGATTTTGGTTTTACTGATCGATAGATGCTTTTGTATTCTTTTTTTTTTTGAAAATGATGCTTTTGTATTCATTTTGCTGGTTTTTTTTTTTAACCGCGTGTATTCTTAGGATTTTATTAAGAAAATATTATGAATTAGTATGTAAAGGGCGGTAATATTTTATAATAATTTTATTTGGTAGAAATTTGTTCATTAATTATATATCACTGAATTTTTAATTTTTAATGTTTATTTATGAAGAAGAAATTCAAATATTTATATTTGTGCCATTTTTTATCATAAAATTCTAAAATTTATAATTTATGATACAATCTTAGTTAAATTGGACAAATAATCAATTTAATAATTACAAATTGAAATTTCAATTTGATTCTCAGCGAGGGCGTTTGATTACTTGTTAGGTTTGAGGAACCTCGAATAATTGTAGTAAAATTTTCATCCTCACTAAAAAAAATATTTGTATAACTAATAAGCTTTACTCCTTACACACTTTCAGGTGGAGACACGTCAAACGTGTCGGGGAAGTATTTTTTTTCAACCCAACTCGTTTTGGATTGGACAATTAGAATTTTTTAAAAATAATATAATATAATAAATTAATTAATATGAAGCGGCTGAGTCTGGCCCATTTAGCCCGTCAGTCTATGCTTAGTTGAGTTGGGCCAAAAACTCCAATCCAAATTTGAAACGAGTCGAATTGAACCCGACCCATTTCTTTCCTAACCTGTGACAGGCTAGCCTATACCGGTCGAATTGACAAATTATATTGTGGGCCAGGGTCCACAATGTACTGTGAACCTTGATCCAATATACATATTTGATTTCATAAGGTACATAATTTATATACAATGCACATAATTCATGTTCATAATTCACAGACGCATAAACACGATACAATAAACATGAATTGTGTATTATGAATGAATTCTATGTATTATGTTAAGTGTTTATGAGTTTCAACTATATAATACACAGAATCCATGTTCATGATGCATAGAATTCATGTTCATTATATCGTGTTTATGTGTATATGTATTATGAACATAAATTCTGTGTATTATAAACATAAATTCGATATACTAAATTTGAGCCCACAATGCACGATAGATATTTATTCAAAATATAACGATTGATCAAACTGCCCTGTCTTCACAGCTACACTTTTAGGTGATGAGTCTGATGACCGTGAGCTTATCTTTTATCACAAAAAAAAAAAAAAAAAAAAAAAAAAAAAAAAGTTTGCTTATATAAACTTTAATCTCCACCGCCTGCAGGCTGCAGCTTCCGGAGACTTCGTGGTACGTACTACTGCTTATTCATATTTCGCATTTTACTTAATCTGCAAGTATGCTATGGTGCCACCTACCTAGCTCTCCTCAGTTACGTGTCGACTTTTTACAACGTGTCAGCTCTTTACCACATTCTTCTTCCACGTGGCAACAAACTTTTAAAATCATCCTCTCAATATCCTTGCCCTTGACTATATAGTATATATATTCCATCAACTTGGCAAAGAAGTATGCTTGCTTGCAAAATATTGTAGAGAGAGTTAAAATATTTCTGTGAAGTTTTCTATCAGTTTAAGCTACCATGGCGTCAAGGCAAACGGTGAAAACAGAGAAAGCCGAAGCGGAGGCTAGGGCGGCGGCGGAAGACCTCAGTGAAGTTAACAAAGAAAGGAGGGAGTGCCGGAAAGTAGTGGAGTGTGAGCCTGCAGGGTACGATCGCGAGTACCGGCGCCAAGTCGTCCGAGAAGAGGAGGAGAGAAAGCCCGGCGTTATCGGCAGCATTGTGAAGTCGGTTCAAGGTACTCTCGGCCACGCGAAGGACGCCGTCACCGGAAAAACCAACGAAGCTGCAGAAGCCACGAAGGAGACGGCGGGAGATGTGGCTCAGAGAGCCAAGGAGACGAAAGACTCCGCGGCGGAGAAGGCTAAGCAAGCCAAGGACACGACGGTGGGGAAAGCGGCTGAGTACAGAGATTACACTGCAGAGAAGGCTAAGGAGACGAAAGACGGCGCGGTGCAGAAGGCCGGAGAGTACAGAGATTACGCCGCCGATAAGGCGAAACAAGCGACGGATTGGACGGCGGAGAAAGCGGGGGAAGCTAAAGACACGACGGTTGACAAAGCGAAAGAGGCGAAAGACAAAACGATGGAGAAAGCCGGAGAGTATAAGGATTACACGGCGGAGAAAGCGAAAGAAGGGAAGGAAACGACGGTTGGAAAGCTCGGCGAGCTGAAGGACTCCGCCGCAGACGCCGCCAAGCGGGCGATGGGTTTCTTCGTGGGAAAGAAAGATAACGACGTCAACCGAAAGGCTGCTGAAACTGAGGAAGCCGTCAAACAGAAGGCGGAGGAGACCGGCCGTGTCGCCAAGCAGAAGGCGGAGGAGACGGCCGAAGCCGCCAAGAAGAACGCGGAGGCGATTAGCCAAGCCGCCAAGGTGAGCCGTTTATAGCCTTCCAATTCCCCATAGCTCTCAAGTCCATCTGAATTTTTCTATTCTTCTTAGAATAAATCTTATTTAATTAGATATATTCTGTATGACAGAGTTTATTTAAGAACTATAAGAACTTATAGTTGATTCGTAACTCAAATGCAACTGTCACATATATTATATTAGCAATCACCAATTGATCATTCAATCATTCAATTCGAACCGGTCTAGAAAAGAGTTTGAAATTTTGGCAGGAGGAGGAGGAGGCTGCAAGGAGGAGAATGGAAGAAATGAAACTTAAGAACGAGTATCTGAAGGATGAAGGAAGACACTGGGACGAGGGGTACGAGGTTGGCAGGTGAATTTCTTTCCTTAAAATTATGTTTGTTCATGAAATGGAAACGGAAATGGCAGTGAATAATGAAGATTTTGGTTTTTGATTGAACAGAGATGATGGTTCAGAGAAGGGTGGGAATGGCGGTGGAATCATGGGCGCACTTGGAGGGATGAAGGATAAAATAAAGGGCACCCTGGCTCCAAAGCAAACCTACGAAGAATCGAACTACGAGAGCGGAGAAGGAAGAGGAACAAGGAGGGTGGTGGTGGATCTGAAGGTGTCTGATCAGATGAGCGGGCAGACTTTCAAGGAGACGCCGGCGGGGAAAACGGCGGAGACGCTGAAGGGGTCTGATCAGATGAGTGGGCAGACTTTCAATGATGTTGGGCCTCTCAATGAAGAGGGGATTCGAATTGCAAAAAGGAGCTCTTAGATCGTCTTTAAAAAAAGATACTTTGGTTTTGTTCTTAGACTGCAATGCATTTGCATGCAGCTTTTGTTAATGTGTGTTTGTTGTATCCTATAGACTAGACTTGCAATATGGAAATTAAATGCTTTCAGTAAATTCCTTTTGCTATGGAACAGTTAAACCTAATACCTGCACGTATTGATATTCAAGTTCAATGTATTTTGAAACTAGTAAGAATTTGGCATTGTATTAAAAAAAAAAAAAAAAACTATTTCAAGCAGTATGTCAATTTTGCACGTATTGATATTCAAGTTCAATGTATTTTGAAACTAGTAAGAATTTGGCATTGTATTAAAAAAAAAAAAAAAACTATTTCAAGCAGTATGTCAATTTTTTTTTGTTTATTTGCATATGCTAATTAAGTTAAACAGCTGTTTATTAAAAAATTGTTTTAGTTGTTTAAGTACAATTGATTGATTGATGTTGGTCAAGTTAGTAAAAAATTGATATCTAACATGAATTAGAAGTCCTTCTCTATACTAAGAGCATCCACGTTTGTGGATTATTTGGAGATATTTCAGACATTAATTCTCCCCATTCAAGATAATAGCTAATGTGGGAAAAAATTATTTGAGAGATAATTCTCCTGCAAATGAAGGGAGATTTCAGACAATGGTGGATTTCACCAAAAAATTAAAATAAACCATCACAGGTGACAGCCACGCGTGGCTGTCATCATAGCGCCTGACTTGCGCGTGCAGTGCAGGCGCGCCTGACATTCTTTTTTTTTTTTTTTTTTTTTTAATTTTAAAAATTTAATTTCCCTTTTTTTTTTCTTTTTTTCTCTCCCCACCCATCTTCTCTTTCCTAATCACTCTTACATTATCCCCCAATTCTCCCCAACAAATGTGGATGCTCTTATATTCACAATTTACTTTCTGTAAAAATCTAATTATCACTATACATTCACAATTTATTTTTTGTAAAAATCTATTTTTCTCAAATTGTTAAATACTACAATTTACTTTCTGTAAAAATCTAATTATCACTATATATTCACAATTTATTTTTTGTAAAAATCTATTTTTCTCAAATTGTTAAATACTACATTGCAAGGCGGATTCTAATCCTAACAACGTATGAATTTTTAGAATATATAAAATTTATTTTTTTAGAATATAAATTGTGTTTCTAAATCTAAATATATAACAGCTGTCAGTGTCATTAAATTCTAATTTATTAATATTACAAAACAATGTAATCAGTTACATATGTGTTAACCGAACATTTGGAACAAGGTTCACATAATAATTTGTGAAAAAGAGAAGTGCCTAAATTTTATCTGCTGAAATATCAAAATAGCGATTATTTGATAGGATCAGCTCCAGGCTCCAGCCGTTATATCATGGACCATGGCCCACAAAGTTGGTCCACAAAGCTTTGTAAACCATGGTCCAAAAATAACGTTATTTCTTCAAGTAAAGAAATGACTGCTGTTACATCTTAACATAGTTTGCATTTTTTATGTGTTAATTATAAAATAAAATTGTCTCACATATTATTTTTATATTATCAAATGAAATTATAGTTGTGTTGAAATAAATTACAATGTATATAAAATGTAACTGTTTTATATATTTAAGTGTATATTATCCAATGAAAATGTAGTTATATCAAAATGATATGTAGTTGTGTTGCAATGAAATTATAGTGTATATAAAATGAAACTGAACAACAATTTTACATATTTGAGTGTGTAATGTTGAATGAAATTATAATTATATCTAAATAAAGCTAGAGTGTATATAAAATGAAACTAAATACGTTATACAAATAGAGCTATTTTATGCGAAATGGCGCGGAACAGGTGCCGTTTTGGACTATGGGCCACAGTCTATTTGCCGATCAGCTCTAAGTGGGCTGGTTAAGGAGCCCATGAGTGAAAGGTTAATTGGGCCTGTTTGAAATTGCTTGCTAAAATAGGGCCCGTTTAATTTATGGGCTAGTATCAATATAAATTGATGCGCGCTATTAGGGTTTCACAATCGTGATTCGTGAAGGGAGAGCATCAGAGCGGCAGAGCTTACAGGAGCCATGGTTCTCAAGTAATTCTCTTCGATCCCCTTTAAGCTTGCATGAATTTGTTATCTATTTTGTTGTTTAAACTATGCCGTTATTTCTCGTTTTGTTCACCTCTTTGGGGAAGGAATAGCAAGTCTGTGTGAATTTTGAACAAGTTTCAACCTTTTGCTATATTCAAACGGGATGCATTCTATGTTTTTATTCAGTTCCTTTCGTATTCACAAGATTTATAGACATATATTCACCGAAGCACATGCGTAATCAGTCCCCTTGATGGATTCAAAATCAGATGTATGTTCGTCTTGTATAAGAATTGCTATGGTAGTTTCATTTTCAACAACATGATAAAAGCGGATTGAGTGCAAGAGATTTATTCTAAATTGAAATGTTCTCTGATCCCTGTGCTTCAGGATTGAAAGTGATATGCTTGAATGTGCAGTATATGTTATTGAATGCCCTGCACCTGATGTGCAACTAGTGCACTTCTCTGTGATTGTACCTTGTCCACTCCACAAATATATTACAAATCTAGTCATTAATGGACTTTGTTGTGATTTCAGGACTGAACTCTGTCGCTTCAGTGGTGCCAAGATTTATCCTGGGAGAGGCATCAGATTTATTCGTGCAGATTCTCAGGTTGAACTCTAATTGATGCTGTGGGGTTTTATCAATTATCCTTTTTTTTTATGTCTTTATGGAAAGAGTAAGAGTAGACTGTGTACTTTTTTCCCAATTTTTGCTAATTTTGATAATTTCAGGTTTTCCTGTTTGCCAATTCAAAATGTAAAAGATATTTTCACAACAAGCTGAAGCCATCCAAGCTTACATGGACAGCCGTGTATAGGAAGCAGCACAAGAAGGTGTGGTATATGTTTCAAGCATGATTTAGCCTCTTGAATTCGCATTATTTTGAATTTTTTTTAAACATTTAATGGATTAGTTACTTGAGAAGTAGGGTTAGCAAATTTATCTTATTCTGATTGGTTTGGTCATTTTTATTTGATACTGTTAGGATCTTGCACAAGAAGCTGTTAAGAAGAGGAGACGTGCCACAAAGAAGCCTTACTCTAGATCCATAGTTGGTGCAACCTTGGAGGTCATCCAGAAGAAGAGAGCTGAAAAACCAGAAGTCAGAGATGCTGCTAGGGAGGCTGCACTCAGGTACCTTTTATAGTTGCTTCTTTCTGGCTAACAATTTGTGTCTGACCATTCACAGTGAGTTTATGTAATAGAAATTCTGACACCAAATCTGTTTGTAATCTTGTTTGCTTATGCAGAGAAATTAAGGAAAGGATCAAGAAGACTAAAGATGAGAAGAAGGCAAAGAAGGCAGAGGTGATGGCCAAGTCACAGAAGGCAGGAAAGGGTAACATTCCCAAGGGTGCCGCACCAAAAGGTCCTAAGATTGGAGGAGGTGGTGGGAAGCGCTGAGCTAAACCCTTTTTTGTTTCGCATCTTGGCAAAATTTAGAGCAATAGCTAGTATTTCCGATTTTGTAAGATGGAACAAGTGTCATTTTGGTTCTGTGTGCTGAAATATTTTTTTTCTTCCAAATTTGAGTATGAAGACTGGCACTTTAATGTTTATTGATGATATTGGGATGATGAATCCCAGGCAGACTTGGATGGCAGATATGGTTTATCATTTCTTTCTGACCCATGTTTTGATATGAGGTGTTTACAGGGTTTTTTTTTGCTCTCATATATATCCCCTCCAATAGAAAATCTAGCTGAGTTATTTGATTAAACAGTTATTACTCATCACTGCTGAGTTGAATCAAGATGGCTAATCCAAGTGATGAGTTCAAACTTGTGATCATATGTATGTTCTCTGCCTGTTTCTTGATATCACGCACTGTAATATGGAAACAGAATTGGAATTAGCTTCTGAAGTGTGAAAGATGGAATTTAAAGAGTTTTTAATTTCTGAACACAAAGAACATTAGTGACTAGTTTAGGTAACTTAGTTTTACCATCATTTAGTTATATATATCATCAGGGCCACCATAACCAGACTACGTTAGAAGGCAAGAAGGCTGTATGGTGTGAAGCGGTCGAATCAAATAACAACTACTGCGAACCAATGTTGGGCAATGTTATTTGTGTTAACATTATTGTCTTGAAAAAACCACATAAGCTTCCTACACTCTTTTACTTAGAAAACTGAGTTGGATAAAAACCATTAGAGTCAGAATTGTTGTGTGTGTAACATTGGTTGTAGGAAGGAGTGATTGTTGAGCATCACATTTTTTCTTTTACTTATGCTCATATATAGGCGGCAACTACCGAGGATGACATTAAAAATAACATGATCTTGGACTATGCCAGGCAAGATATATATGCCATAGGCGGTTTGGGAGTCACTAGAGAATTTTGCTAGAGTTTTGTGCCATTGATGTAACCTTCAATACTAAGATTAATAAATGCCGATTGGATTTCTTTCTTCATACAGAATAACTTGAGTTTGTGATTCGATGAGAAAATTGACAAGAGCAGTTAATTGAATAACATACATTGCATGCATAAGCTTTAACATGTATAGTAGCTTATGTAATTAATAGTCAAATATAGTTTAATTACATAAGCTTGAATACAAGAAGGGATATAGTAATAATCAACTATCTGTACCAAAAAATTAACGAAAGAATTGAAATAAGTTAACAACATAACAAATATAATCAGAACGCAACATAAGAAATAAGGAATGAATAGTATTCCTTAATATATATAATAGTCCATAGCACACTAACTTTAGAAATATGAATAAAATCACTGCTGATATGATTATTAGCAGACACCTCTCATAACAAAACAATAGCAACAATAAGCAAAAGAATAACAAAGGAGAAGATCAGACACGTACGATTACATGTAGCTAGCAAAAAAGAGTTAAAATTGAGCACCAATTCAACTAACTGAACTCATCTATCAACCACTGCACTACAAGATGAGATAATGGAAGTGTAAATTGTGGTCAGGGATAAGTAGAAGGAAGAGTTGACCAATAAGGTGGCGGCATCAACGTAGTACAGTCGTCAACTACTACGTTAAACATGTTATTGTAGACGACGTTGCAACTTGGGATTGATGTGCTTTCCACTGTCTCTTCTCCTGACAATATTTCTGTCGTCGACACCTGCTTCTTTCTTGCTTCGTCTCTCACTATTGATCTCAATGCCACTACCTTTAATTTTCACATCAATATCAATTCACAACCATCAAATAATATAATATAATATATAGCCTAATTAATCTTACATTCCCCGGCCCCATAATTAACATCCAATATTTGATTATTTTTTAATATTTAATTAATAAATATATTCTTCAAATAGCGAGATTTACTATGTTAAAATTGTTGATAGAGGCTCACTTAGAGGTTACTACGTTCCAACATAGCTTGGTGATGGGTCATATGGCTATATTATCTCTTAAACACTAAGAGATTTCTTGGGGAAAAAAAGTCTGATAGATATAAGATGATTATTAGTTTTGAAAGAGATTTAAACATATAATTTGAACTGTCATCAAATTTTATGAGAGTTTTTTTTTGGATGACAAGGGAAACACACCGTGCCTGAGGGGAGTGGATTAGGTAAACCTCGTCTTGTGAATTTAGCCATCAAATTAAAGTATTACAAGGAGATAAACTATTCTAATTAAGTTAGGTTGTCCATATATATAGTTGATCCACTCAAATCAAGAAGCTAAGACCAATAAACTAACTGTTTTTGCTGGCCAGGAGTTAAACTAGTAACTTTGTAGTTACTAAATCAATAGAACTTGTTGATTGGGGTTGTATCCAATTTTTATGGACTTGTTACTCACTTGTTCATCACTTTCTGAGGTTTAGATGAGAGAAATAAAATAATGAAAAAAAGATAGCATACCTCCTCTTCGAGCTTCTGCTTCTCTCTTGAAACGAGGTCGAATTGATGCTTGAGGGAATCGCAGAGGCGCTCGAGCTGCTTAGCCTTCCACCTGGCCCGTCTGTTCTGGAACCACACCGCGATTTGCCTGGGATGAAGTCCCAACTCCTTAGCCAGCCTCATCTTCCTCTCTGGATCCAACTTTATCTCCTCCTCAAAGCTCTTCTCCAGCGCATCTAACTGCTCCGTCGTCAGCCTCTTCTTCTTGTCATTCTTCTCTACGACTCCACCCATAAACTGTGCCCCCTCACCCACCTGCACTGATGATGATGAACTACTCTTCATCATGTCTATACCTGATGAGAAGAGAAGAAGCCAACACCCAATATTAGATGTGATGAGATTTTATGTATGTTTGGATAGGATGTTAGAACGAACCTGCAGGAAACTGGTCATAATTGTAGGTGTAGAGGAAGCTGAAAGAAGCGGCATCTGAAGGAGGAACAAAAGGTCTTGTAAGATGATTATTATTCCATTCCATGTTATGTGTTGTGTTTTGACCTTAACTATTGTTTCTTCTCCTTCTTCAACTCCCTTCCTCACACGGCAGATCTATCGATGTTGAGTACATATATATATGGAAACCAGAAACACCATATCCCAATGTATATATAGTAAGTAAAGAAACTCCCCTCTTCTCTTGACTCTTAATTGGTAGAGTAGGGTTGGGATGGGATGAAGATGACTGACGACGTGTTTGGACCACGAAGGTAGAGAGGTAGAGAAATTAAAGTTTGAGGAGTACAGTTGAAATGAGAAGAGGGTTCCTTAATTATAAGTACCGTAAGTAAGAGTAAGAGATTACTTATAAAAATAAATTTCAAATTGAAGAATATATTAGAGTATACATACATGGTATAGTTCAAAAATATTCTAATGGACTTGTTGAATGAATAAAAGTAATTAGGTCGCTAAAAAAGTGTTTCTTTAATTCCAATGGAAAATACAGAAATCAAAGGCAATTTATATCCTACACCACGACGCGCGTTGCACTATGCGCCCAGATGCAAAACGACGTCGTTTTATTTATTTATTTTTTGAAATTTCTCGCCCCAGTGAATGGCAGTAGTTTTTTCTTTAAAAAAAATAACCCCGCTGTTCAAGAATGTACATAATGTTATACTAGAATACACATAATTGTATACATGAATGTACATAATTATATAACAAAATATACATACTCTTTTTAAAAGATAATACACATAATCTAACATAATACATAATAAACATAAACTTTTAACATAATACACATCAACTATTAACATAATACACACAAATTTTCTGATTCGGATGTACATAATTGTATAAAAAGAATGTACATAACTGTATAAAAAATGTACATAACTGTGTGAACAAATACACATAATCCCAGCAACTTCCTACCGCGCCTCCCAAAACGACGTCGTTTTGGGAGGCGCGCGTCGCACAGTGCTATGTGCGCCGTGGTGTAGGGTATAACGATTGGAAATCAACGGGTTAGACAAAGGTCCAATCGGGGGGTTGCGCCATGAATATTCTAGGGGGTATGTAACCATTGCCACATTAACAAATTTGTCATTGTACTCGGACTACTTGATGTTACTACTTATCTAAGAAGAAATTGATCAATGTCTGGATGTCCAAAGTGAGTTGTTAATCATAGAGGAGCAATGGTTGAGCCCGCCAAATTCTCTAGGGGGAGAAGTACCCAACACTTTTCGTATCATAAATATTCCCGAAGTCACAACATGTTAGGATCTGCACAGGGTGTGTTAATACCTGCATCATCATCTAGTCATCTTGAACATGCCCGAAGACATGCACACCGAGCCCCTGGCAAGTCAGCCAAGGCTGCACGACCTACTTCCCCATTGGTCGCGCCTAGAGCAACGTAGTTGCGCAAGGCGACACATCATGCCCTTGGCGGTGAGGTTGCATAGGGCATGACGCAACTAGGGGGGCGCAAACACCGCCCTATAACCACACTAGGGCTACCGGCCACATGTTAGCACCGCCTCTGACCCTCTACCCCCAACTTGTACTACACCACCCAAACTTTATTCCTAATATCCTATCCCACTCTGGTCCCAGAATAATTGCAACTTAATTGACTTCTTGTATCTCAATCAATGTTCCAACTTCAAGCTCACCCCTCCTGAGTGGAGCATGATCCCAGGGCCCATCAATATCGTTATGTATTATCTACTCCAAAATTTCATTTTTCACTCTTTGTTTTCATTTTTTCAATTAATAATGTTAGATTATGGAAAATACAGATGACGAAGATTGGTGATTGAACACATTGCAGAGAAGAAGAAGAAGATGTACACTCATTTGTTTGTCTCAGTTCTTTATTACAGCAATAAGAAGCATTATATATGAAAGCCTTCAAAAAACGGTTATAACAGAACATATGGGTGAAAAGACAAGAATGCCCTTGGGGCTCAATTTGACAAGAACAAGCCTGATCCCTTGACTGCCTTGACTCTTCTTGTGGCTGCATCACCTTGTATCCTCCAACAAATTGACTCCTCTTGTGGCTGCATCACCTTGTATCCTCCAACACCCCCCCTTAAGCTAGGGAATGGATATCCTGAAGACCCAGCTTAGAGTGAAACATCTCAAAAACTGGTTTTGACAAAGCTTTTGTAAATCCATCAGCAATATGCTTTTGTGATGAAATAGGGAGCAATCTGATCACTTCTTCTTGTACTTTCTGTTTGACAACATGGCAATCAATCTCAATGTGCTTGGTTCTCTCATGGAAAACATGGTTCTCACCAATGGCGATTGCAGATTGATTATCACAAAAGAGGGAAGTGGGACTGTCACATGGCACACCTAAATCTGTCAGCAAATAATGTAGCCATTGGATTTCACAGATAGTAGAAGCCAAAGCTCTGTATTCTGCCTCAGAAGAAGACCTTGAGACAGTAGCTTGCTTCTTGGTTCTCCATGAAATTAAAGCTTCTCCAAAGTATATGCAGTAGCCAGTGATTGACTTCCTAGTTTCTGAACATGTAGCCCAATCTGAGTCAGAAAAACCTTGCAGCCTAAGATGAGTGTTTGAAGGATAGAATATGCCTTTTCCTGGAGATCCCTTAAGGTACCTAAGTACTCTATGAGCTGCTGTTAGATGAATATGTGTAGGTTTGTCAACAAATTGACTCAATTGTTGAACTGAATGTGAAATATCTGGCCTGGTATTAGTCAAATAAAGGAGCTTCCCAATCAACTTTCTGTACACTTCTGGATCATTCAATGGAACTCCTTCTGTACTGATTAATTTCTGACCCGTGGTTGCAGGAGTTTTAGCTGGCTTGGCCTCCAAAAAACCATTCTCCCTCAGGATCTCTAGAGTATATTTCCTTTGACAAATATTGATGCCATCAGGACTTCTGAGAGCCTCAATCCCTAGAAAATAATTCAGACTACCAAGGTCCTTTATTTTGAAAGACATATCCAAGAATTTTTTTAGCTCATTGATTTGTGATGAGTCATTCCCAGCAACTAATATGTCATCCACATAGACAAGTAAAGAAGTAAAAGAGCTGCCTGAAGTCTTTGTGAACAAAGAGGGGTCTGCTGTGGACTGATGAAAACCAATTAGCATTAATGCTTGTGTCAACTTTGCATTCCACTGCCTACTAGCTTGCTTCAAGCCATATAATGACCTTAGAAGCCTACAAACCTGTCTAGGACTATCAATCTGGAAACCAGTAGGTGGAACCATGTAAACTTCCTCCTTTAGATCCCCATGTAGAAAGGCATTGTTGATGTCCAACTGTTGAATATTCCAATTCTTTGCAACTGCAACAACCAGGAATGTTCTAATGGTAGTCATTCTAGCCACAGGTGAAAAGGTTCCAGTGTAATCAACCCCCAATTGTTGAGTATACCCTTTTTCAACCAATCTAGCCTTGTATCTCTCTATGGAACCATATGCTCTATGTTTAACCTTGTATACCCATTTGCAGCCAATAGGAGTTTTTCCTATTGGAAGGCCTGTTAGAGTCCAGGTGTTGTTGGCAATCAATGCATCTATCTCAGTCTGCATTGCCTTTCTCCAAGATTCATGCTGGACAGCTTCTTGATAAGACTGTGGTTCAGGAGTAGAAGAAATAGACATAGCACATGTCCTATGACCAGGAGAGAGATGATCATAAGATATGACTTTGTCTAATGAATGTGGGGATGTGCTGTCCTTACTTCTCACCATAGATTGACAGTAATAGTCCTACAGCTTAGTGGGAATGTTCCTGGTTCTCCAAGATCTTCTAGGATGTGTTAATCTGATCTCTGTGGTTTCATTTATTCCATTGGTGAGATCAACTTCAATAGAATGTGGCTGAACATCTACTGGTGCTTGATCAAACTCAGTGGGATGTGGCTCATCAGAAGTAGAAGGCTGATTGGACTCAACAGTTGGTGAAGCCTAATTAAGGTTAGCTGGATATAACTCAATATCTGATGGTGAGTCATTTATTTCAACAGAATGTGGTTCCACATTTTGAGTATTGAAATGCATGTGCCTTCCTGTAACATCTGCATCAACTGAAACAGGAATTAAAGGCAGAGAAGGATTAAAGTGTTGAGACTCACTATTGGCTCCTGAAATGTTGCCCTTATAGGGATAAATGTCTTCATAGAACTGCACATCTCTGGAAATGAAATCAGAGTTATCAACAAGATCATGAACTATGTACCCCTTCACATTTGCAGGAAATCCCAAGAAGATACATTTCTTGGCTCTTGGCATCAACTTATTTCTCCCTTGTGAAGCAGTGGCAGCATAGCATAGACAACCAAAGGTTCTAAATTGACTGTAATCCACCTTAGCTTTGAATAACACCTCATAAGGTGATTGTCTATTATTTAAGGGAGTAGGTAGCCTGTTAATTAGATAAGAGGCATGCAAGATACACTGACTCCAGAACTCCATTGGTAGCCCAGATTGAAATCTCAGGGCCCTTGCCACATTCAACAGATGTTGGTGTTTTCTCTCAGCTATTCCATTCTGCTGTGGGGTGTTCACACAAGACTTTTGATGGACAATGCCTTTCTCATCAAAGAAAGCATTCATAAGAAACTCACTTCCATTGTCTGTTCTCACAATCTTTATCTTTGCTGAGAATTGTGTATCAACATACTGATAGAAAACTTGAAATAAAGATCTAACCTCAGATTTGTTCCTCATGAGGTGAGTCCAGGTGAATCTGCTGTGATCATCCACTATTGTTAAGAAATAGTGTTCCCTTTTCTGGGATGCAACTGCAAATGGTCCCCATACATCCATGTGGATCAGATCAAAACAATTTTTAGTTCTAGATGTGCTTAAAGGAAAAGGAGACCTCTTATGTTTAGCAAAATGGCAACTATCACAAGCAGTGCCATGAATTTTATTAGAGTAAGCAGGTTTTATTCCATACAAGTATTGGATCTTGTCCATAGGATAGTGTCCTAATCTATTATGCCATAATTGCAATGTCACAGCACTGCATTGTCTATCATCAATTCTATCAGACTGATCATCTTTCTTCTTGGCAGGTGGATGCTTGACCAAGTATAGTCCACCCTTTTCTTCAGCAAAACCATGCACTATTCCACAGGGATCCTGGATATTACATGACACATCATTCATAATAAGTTTGCAGCTGCTCTGCCTAGCCAATCTACTAGCAGAAATGATATTGAAAGAAAAGGTTGGGATATGAAGAACATTTTTCAATAGCAGA